ATACATGGAGTTGAGCCTTGTGAGTCACACAAGACGGAGTGATATTCCAAAAATTCTAAAGTAAACGTTTTTAACCCTTATTGTACTAATGCCTACACAGATTAAAATAAGCAATGAATGAGAAATTTGTACAAAAACAATCCTTAAACACTATATTTTACTTATAGCAAATAATTGAAGTATTCAAACATTATCAAGACTGATACACTGGAAGCACTACCTGTCATCTCTTACAGTATGGAGTATAAATGCTGCAAAGAGCAAAAACATGCATCGTGAGTGTAGCCATAAGCCATATTAGGAACCATGTAGAAGGCATTTGATGATATGGTCGATTTGAGTATTATTACAGCTGTATGTGGGAGACAAGTAAGAATAGTGTGAGATCAATCCTATATTGAAAACAAGTTCTAGTGGTAAGAGCATTTTGAGGTTTGACATATCACCACAGTCATGATAATAATAAGGCATGTATGTTAGTGCCTGTTTAAACTCAAAATTTCTACATATTTTTTTTTTTTTTTAAATGTATGTCCTTTAAGTTGACTGTTTAATAGTAGGCTGCAGTGGCGTACATACCGCGTTCGAAGGGGTCGCATCTGCGACTGGGCCCTTCACTCCTGCGGGCCCAGGCAACCAGCGGACCCCTGTGACCAGTTCCCGCTGCCATGTGTTGCAGCTTAGGCTGCGTGGTATAATTGCCGGGGCCGCACGTGAAGGTGCCCATCGGGTGGCCCATGCTGCTAGGGCCACCCAATGGAAATGAATATCATCATCAGAGTGGGTCAGCATGACTGAGCCCCCTCTGATGATGTCAGACATTGGGAGGAAGTGACTGCCCCGGTCACTCCTCCGAGCAACCACCAAGAGCTGCACGGGAGGAAGGAGAGGGAGGGATCAATTTTGCACCAGGGCCCTATGGATTATGTGTACGCCACTGGTAGGCTGCTTAAATTGCAGTTCAATATTGCAGAATTCACTGAAGGAATGTATTTAGAATATATTTATTACCAAATTTTACCAGTTCCACTTTTGAGAAACTGCAATGATTACATTGCATTACTTAGACTTACTCTAGTGGCTGTCAATCAAACAGCCATGAGAGGCACTTCCTGGTGGTCAGGCGACTTTTGGTCATCTAAATGACACTGGGCGTCCTCATGCTGTGTATGAGAACATCCAGTGTCAGTAAAATACCCATATAGAAAGCATTGAAGTAATACTTTCCTATGAGGAGGGCCTAATGCACATTAGCCCCTAAGTCTGGTAATGGAGTAGGTGCTGGAATCAGATAACTCTTAAATTGTTACACAAAACAAGATACACCTAGAAAAAACAAAAGCAGAGAACACTCATAGGGAAACACCGTTTAGTAGAGATGTCCCTGCTGTAAATATTGCACTCACAGAATAGAGGAGTAGTGCAAGCCCATCAAAATATCTTTATATCTTGCAATGAAATTCCTCAAGGCTACCTGGGGAAGATTTGGAGCTCATAAACCCGTCCGGTAAAATGGAGATGGCTAAGGTTGCAGGAGGGGAATACCCAAGTCCGTGTAAAACACTGAGTCCCCCAACGACTTACCCTGTTCGCCTGCCAGTTGCCGGAGGAGGTGAGCACACCGAAACAAAAACGCCAGGTGATGAAACCCACTCTCGGTATCAATGAGTGTAGCTGATGCCGTAATCCACTTCCAGGGTAACGTGCTTGAAAATGGGTGTAGTAAAAAAAGAAAGACCCGATCGTCTCTGCGTTTCGTCTCTAACAGAGACTTTTTCAGTCTTGAAAAAGTCTGTTAGAGACGAAACACGTAGATTTCTCAGTTTTGTTTTCAGTTTTTTCATACCCGTATTGTTTGCTATAGGTGACAGGATTCATTGGTATGGTAAGTGGGGTTTTGTATTTGAGTTTCAGGTTTTATTACACCTGTTTGGGGATGGGCTGTTGTTCTTTTATAGCATGTAGATTAATGCCTATAATGATTCTGCAAATAATTTGATAAGAGCTGATAAAAAAGTCCCACAATTACTGGGGGCTAGTTGATTAGGTCCATAAAAACTCACTATTATTCTCCTAGATGTGGGGATAACCCACTAATAGCAAACAAAATTAAGAAAATGGACTAAAGGTCCTAATTAGGAGAATAACATATATAGGAATCCCTACCTTTATTAGTCCTAAGGGAAAACAAAAAATAGTAAACAGAAAGGCAAGAGAGTACATGTGATATATGTACAACCATGCACATAAACACATGTACACAGAAGGATGAATCTGTGTAAAAAATCAGCTGAATTAGCTAAAATAAACCAAGCTTAAAAAGTGTAAGCTAAAGTTACATATTTCAGCAGCTTACCTACAAAGCTCAGGTATGTACAGAGATAAGGGAAAAGGGGATATAGATGAAGGGGTTAAACCCCAAGTAAACCACCCACAGCGTCCCCACCGAAACCCCCCAATAAAAAACAATCACTTAGATAAGATCTGTCCCTATAATACCTCAGCACCATGGACAAGCCACTAATGCCTACCTGAACCACTCTCCCTTCCTCAACTAAAAAAGTATAAATGAAACTTAACTAACTAAAGCTAGTGCATAGTGCTACAAAATGTAGTGAGAAAACAAAAAAACTAATAGCTCGACAATCGTTTCGGCATGTCAGCACGCCGTCGTCAGGAGCAGTTGACGACTGGAACAAATCCACTATTTTATTATTATACATTTGGATAGTACCCGTCCTCTCCACTTTTTTTTCTTTTTGATCATTATTTTATTCACCTTTCCTTCTTATTTCTACTTGTTTCTATTGTTAAATGTTGATTTCTTTATATACCAAATTAATGTGAAATATGTTTTTTACAATACTGTTCAATAAAAAAGTTTGAAAAGTATATGAATGAAAATGCAGTCACATAATATAAAGCCTCCCAATGGCTCCTAGTAGTATCAATAGTATAATCCCCACTCTTGGCTATATAAGTGTTTTCACAGTGATATTATGTGAATAAAACCAGAAACAAAATCTAGTACTCACTGTAGCATAAAATAAATAGATGAGGTACTCACTGATGTAGTGTAAAATAACTGTTTTGCCCAATCCTCATGGCATTGCTGGTATATTACACACCATGGAAAATGGTGTCCAAAGTCCAAAAATAAACAGGATGGTCCCCAAATGTTAAAACATTAACAAATGTTATTGATAAATACTTATGTAAATAAAAAGAAATGAGTTAAAAACAAGTTAAACGAAAATGTTTCACCTATTAGCAAGGCTTTATCTGGTGTTACAGGTTCCGGGACACAAACTGTTTAAATAGGGGGCATACATTCAAATTTCGAAGTCACATGACATCATAGTGACATGACCGTGCGCCAATAAACGTAATAATACATGAAAATACATTTTTAAACTGGAAACCCGCAGACAGGTTATTATAGACGTAATGTTATATAGAAACATAAAAAATTAGGGTTTTATTATGGAAAGGGCTCTGAGGGTGGTGGAACAAAAGTAAAAAAACATATAAAAACAAGTGTTATATAATGGCCAGCTCATAAATACGGATCAAACAAAATGGTGCTTAGAGCCAGGTCCTGAGTGACATGACTTGCAAGATACTGCAGCAGGGTGAAGGTAAAATATCAAATCTGAAATATGGTGAGAAGCCATAGAGGTTGGAATGGTGAATAAGCTAAAAAGTGTATTAAAAAAAACTAGTGTATATAAGAATGTAGCTGGCTTCTAAAAGAATTTAAGCTTGGCTTTACAAAGATGGAGCCAGAGCCCAGGTCCCAAGTCAAGTGATTTGCGGTGGGTATGGCTCAGCATATCTAGAGGGAATTTAAAGGTACATGCTATGTGGGAAAAATAAAACTAATAAAATAAATGATAGTAAAAAACTGTGAAAAACATGTGATAAAACAAGTAATATGAAATTTAAGGTATAAGACATAATGAAGAATCCAAAATTAACATTGACATTAGTGGATAAAAGTGGTAACAGTGTAGGTATTATAATTAAATGTTATAAAATAAACTAAATGATCAAAATCAACATCTAGACCATAGTGGAAAAGAGTGATCAAGTTAAATACCCATCTCATTTCTTGTAATCCTAAAATTTTTGAAATGCTGTCCCCTCGCCATGGAGGAGTGACCTTTTCATTAGAAATGTGTCTGCAGTGTTCAGATATTATGATTTTTGGTTTAATTAGAATAAGATCTCTGTGTGTCATCTTAAAAGAAGATGACACACTGAGAGATTTTCTTCCAATTAAACAAAAAAATATTTTCAGAGGTATTCCCAACTTAAGAACATGTCTAACCTAAAGCTAATTAGGAAAAATAACTATCCACAGCAACACATTTTTAGACAAAAAGGATTATATAAATGCAAATCTTGCATAGCATGCAATAATACAAATACAAGTAATACCCTATTTTTTAAATTGAAATCCAACCAATCTCAGAAAAGCTACAATATAAAAAATGTCATAACTTATTGGAATGCGTTTGTGGTCTACAATAAACCTGAATGAACATTGCAGAAACATTTAAACATAGAAACATAGAATGTGACGGCAGATAAGAACCATTCGGCCAATCTAGTCTGTCTAATTTTCTAAATACTTTCTTTAGTCCCTAGCCTTATCTTATAGTTAGGATAGCCTTATGCCTATCCCACGCATGCTTAAACTCCTTTACTATGTTAACCTCTGCCACTTCAGCTGGAAGGCTATTCCATGCATCCACTACCCTCTCAGTAAAGTAATACTTCCTGATATTATTTTTAAACCTTTGTCCCTCTAATTTAATACTATGTCCTCTTGTTGTGGTAGTTTTTCTTCTTTTAAAGATAGTCTCCTCCTTTACTGTGTTGATTCCCTCTCTCTCTATATATATATATATATATATATATATATTTCTATCATAACCCCCTGTCTCGTCTTTCCTCCAAGCTATACATGTTAAGATCCTTTAACCTTTCCTGGTAAGTTTTATCCCGCAATCCATGAACCAGTTTAGTAGCCCTTCTCTGAACCCTCTCTAAGGTATCAATATCCTTCTGAAGATACGGTCTCCAGTACTGTGTAGAATACTCCAAGTGAGGTCTCACCAGTGTTCTGTACAATGGCATGAGCACTTCCCTCTTTCTACTGCTAATACCTCTCCCTATACAACCAAGCATTCTGCTAGCATTTCCTGCTGCTCTATTACATTGTCTGCCTACCTTTAAGTCATCAGAAATAATCACCCCTAAATCCCTTTCCTCATATGTTGAGGTTAGACTCTATCAAATATTCTGTACTCTGCCCTTGGGTTTTTACGTCCAAGATGCATTATCTTGCACTTATCCACATTAAATGTCAGTTGCCACAATTCTGACCATTTTTCTAGTTTACCTAAATCATTTGTCATTTGGCTTATCCCTCCTGGAACATCAACCCTGTTACATATCTTAGTATCATCAGCAAAAAGACATACCTTACCATCAAGACCTTCTGCAATATCACTAATAAAAATATTAAAGAGAATGGGTCCAAGTACAGATCCCTGAGGTACCCCACTGGTGACAAATCCAAGCTTTGAATATATTCCATTAACTACAACCCTCTGTTGCCTGTCACTCAGCCACTGCCTTACCCATTCAACAATATTGGAATCCAAACTTAAAGATTGCAGTTTATTGATAAGCCTTCTATGTGCAACAGTGTCAAAAGCCTTACTGAAATCTAGGTAAGCAATGTCTACTGCACCACCCTGATCTATAATTTTAGTTACCCAATCAAAAAAATCAATAAGATTAGTTTGGCATGATCTCCCTGTGAAGGTTTCACCAATCACTGGGTGCCATAGTCTGTGCCATAGAAAAGTTCACTTCTCCACGGCAAAGGGGCAACATTATAAGAAATTAGGAAAACAAGAAATTATGTTTTTCACAGTTTTTATATATTTTCCCAGTTTTTTTTAACTATAATGTATTATTTTTCTTAGTTTTATTTTTTCCCACAAAGCGAATACCTTTAAATTCCCACAGCAAATCAGTTGACTTGGAATGTGGATTCTGGCGCTATCTTTGTATTATTATTATTATTATTATTATTAATATTAATATTATTGCCATTTATATAGCGCCAACAGTAACTATAAATAGGACAATTACAAGAAAACTTACAGGAACAATAGGTTGAAAAGGACAAATAGGTTGTAAAGCCAAGCTTACATGTTTTATAAGTTGGCTATATGCTTGAATACACTCATCTTTTTATACACTTTTTAGTTTATTCACCATTCCAAACTCTACGACTTTTAATCATATTTCAGATTCTGAATTGGCCCTGCAAGATAAATTGCAATTGTGACCTGTGACCCTATTTTGAGCTCATTGATCACATGACCTGGACTGAGGCACCATCTTCTTATTTTATATTTCTATCTCACTCCTGCTTATAAAAAAAGCCTCATATTTAGGTTTCTATATCACATTCAGTCTTACACCCCCATATTTATTAGGTTTTAAGTTTAAAAACGCATTTTGATTTATAAATATGCTAATTAGCATGCAGTGACCTGATTATGATGTCTTGTGACTGGTAAATTTGAATTTGTGCTCTCTATTTAAACAGTTTGGGACCAGGAACCTATAACACTACCAGAAAGCCTTGAAAATAGATTAAATGCATTACTGTTATTAACATATTTTACTTGTTTTTGTGTTATTTCTTTTTATTTGAATAAGTGATAATCAATATAATTAGTGATTTTTTAGTGATACCACATATGCCCTGAGCATTGAGCAAAAACTGTCATATTGCTCTACATCAGTGAGTACCTATCCAAGTAATTTAATACTTTTAATTCTACAGTGAGCATTAAATTTTATTTCTGTTTTTATTCACATAACACCACACAGAACATCAGCCACTTACATAACAAGAGTGGGATTGTAGTACTTCACACTGTATACAATAAGCTATGGTAGGCTTCATATTATATGAGTGCATTTTTATTCATATACTTATATTATTTATAACACCAAATACACTAAAGTATATTGGTGTCTTTCTGATTATTTTTCATACCTTCCAGACCAGCTTCCACAGGACACAGAGATACACCATATATCCTTAGGCAGGGATTGTACAGAAATAGAGCTAACTGATAGCTCTGTACACTGTAAGTGTATCTCGTCTCCTTTTTATTTTTAACTTATTTTGTCTAGCATAAATAACTTGATTTCTCTGTGGAGATTACACAACAATTCTCTCTAACTACACATTCCTACATTTTTCAAAGTTTTTTTTTTAATTTTGATTGGAAGGGAATAAAACTAGAATGCATGATTTAAGTGGCAGTCAGGCAGATGGTAACTGTTCTTTTTAGAGAAGGTATAGCTGAAATGGTAAAGACTAACAGGAAATACATGGTTTGAATATATATAGGCCCATATTAAACGACAAACTACAGTTTGAGATTTTATATTGTTTAGGCTATTTCACCAGTAGGATCGTGTCTAAGATTTGTATATGAGTCCTTATTAACTTGAAGAAAAAAAGATATATGGGAAAATTTAAAGGTTTATTAAACATGTGTACCTACACGACCATGAATTCATGGGTTAAATTATGTAGGACAGTCATTTGGAAAATTGAAGAGCAAACATGCATGCTGTATTTAGGAAACCATAAACAGCCTTGGGCTATAAAAAATAAATGTAATAGTTAATTCAGCTCATATTTCTTTGAAGTTAAATTAGCAAGCATAACTTTCTACTTTTCATTTTGTTTAAAATAATGGGTAAAGATTTTCCACACTTGTGATTCTCTTGATGTTTGTGTTTTTAATTCTTATACTGAATGTCTAGTTAGGCTGTCAAAAAAACAACAACAAAAAAAACACAAAACAAACTGTAAACACAACAAAAGACAGGGACTCTCAAACATGCTTTAATATTTTGCAAACTAAATTAAACAGTGATACATATGGAAAACATCACTGGATTTTAACAATTTATAACAAACAACCCAGACCTCCTTTGGACAGTGAAAAAACTTTGAAGGATGAACCAATTCTCATTTACTACCATTGTATTTGTATTTATTAACTGGGATACCTATATGTCTTTGTGCCTATCTGAGCTCCTTTCAAGATACAGCACTCCATGCTCATGCCTTTTACCCCTCAAGGACAGAGGCAATTGTACATGTTTTGATCAAAAGAAAATCAAAACAAAACCTGGAATTTGACTATATGTCTATTCAACCAAAAATTACCGCTTTCATTCTAAGTACACCCACACTTATTATATATAATTTTGTTCAGGAGAAACAGGGCTTTCATTTCACATGAAATATTTATATATAAAAAACATAATTAGATTTTAATAAAATCTAAACAATTGTGAGAAAAGGGAAACTTTTATTTTCCAAGTTCTGCATTGCATTTTAACTGTGAATGTAATAACAGTGTTAGCTTTTACTGCAATAAAACACACATATTTCTGTTTAGTGATGTCTCTCGAGTACAGCTGTACCAACCATGTACATGTTGTATGGGGTTTTGGAACGTTACAGGGTCAGATATAGCAGGTTCCCTTTTTTCAGTTTATACACATTGAGAATTGGAAGATTGGTAATGTTGCCTTTTAGACTATATAGCAGCACAAAAATGAAAATTAACCCCATCATAGCATACCATTTGCAAATGTAGACAACCCAAGGAATTGCAAATGGTGTATGTCCAGTCTTTTTTAGTAGCCACTTAGTCATAAACCCTGGCCAAACTTAGTGTTCATATTAGTTTTTAAAAAGTTTCACAAAGAAGCTGCCTTTTCACTAATAATATAATCAGCATTTTACATATTACTGCTATAAAACACTCGCAGTTGTGTTCAGCGATGTCTCCCGAGTACAACAGTACCCAACAAGTACAGGTTTTACATTGTCTTGGAAAGTTGCAGGGATTGCAAATTAAATTCTCTGAACTTTCTGCCTGGGTTCGAGAAGACCAGAAGAACAGGCAGCACTCCAGGATACAGATGGTAACTATATTTATTGGAGGGTAATTCACCTCAGCACTGTGACATTTCAGCTCATATGAGGCAAAATGTCACACTGCTGAGCTGACTTACCCTCTAATAAATAGAGTTGACTGTGCCAGGATTTGAACAGGCTCTGCAGTCAGGGAATTTACCAACTGAGCTAACTCACTGGCTACCTCACTAGATATATATATATATGTGTAATTGCTGTATATCCTAGTTAGGTGGATCAGTGAGTTAGAAAGTGTGTACGTTTTGTATATTTCCTATATATAGCTTGTTGAACCTTGGTCACATTGATCCTGAGAAAGAAGCTGATGGATCGAAACGTCGATCACCAAGTTTTTGTGTATTATGTAATTTTTGAATAAACTAACATAATTGTTTCACAGAAAAGACCTGTGAGTGCACCCTTTTTATTACGTATATAAAACTCAATGCAGGCAGAGCTGCAGACAGGCATTTTGGCCATGTGATCGTGAGGATCTCACGATTACATGGCCCTGGAGTGATGGATCTGACACTAGGGGACTGCCTGGCATGTCTGGCGGTCCCGCCGATCTTGATCACCGGTGGGGAAATGGCAAGGAGCATATGAGTAGTCATGCTGACAGGGACATCCTATGCAGCCCGCAGGTGTTTAGGACCTCTGCGCTTAAGGGCTTTTATTCTCCAACATAAAAAAAGATATTTTGGGCTCAAGAGTTTGCATACTCTAGGAATTGGTGTACAATTTGTACAATTTTTAAAGAAAACATGAGTGAGCAGGCAAAACACATTTCTTTTATTTTTTATGGGATTCATATTCAACTGTAGGTTATAACAGAATGGCACAATCATAAAACAAAACATGGCAACAAAGAAAAATAATTAAATGACCCCTGTTCAAAAGTCTTCGTACCCTTAGTTCTCAAAACAGTTTATTGCCCCCTTTAGCATCAATGACATTGTGCAGTCTTTTGTAATAGTTGTCTATGTGGCCCCTAATTCTTGCAGGTGGTGTAGCTGCCCATTCATCTTGGCACAATGCTTCCAGGTCATGCAAAGTTTTTGGGGAGTGGACATTGCTGCTGGAGGCAACTTTGGAGTATAACCGTTCAACAATGGTTTAACCCACGATGTAAGGGAGCCTCCAGGCAACATAAACAATTCATTTCGATGAACAAAATCACTTCACCCCTTTTGGGAAATTGTTAGGCAAATCTATCATG